AAAGATGAAGGAATTGTGTTGGACTTTTGTTATTTACATAATTTCTACGACAACATCAAGCAAATACATATTGCCAGCAGACTCTGTGGATCACGAGGTTGTCGAGGCTGCGCAAAGGTTTGCGGATCTTGGAGACCGGAAAATATACGACACATTCCGCTTCAAAACAATCGCGGTTTCAGAAAATCCGACAGCGAGAGCAAAAAAGAAATGTTGAGATATGTTCACTGAGTACTTCAATGACCTGGTGCAGTTGATTGGCAGGCGCAAATCAATTGCTGGTTCGTAGGCTTCCACGGCCGGAGTCAATGTATTCTTGGCTATCCGGGATGAGCCGCGTCTCAGGTCAATGTACTGACGTTTCGGCCATCTTACGGCCTTCTTCAGAGCTATACTGCTGCAAAGAGGTTTTTTTTGGGTTTTTTCCCCCCTCCAGTTTCCCTGAGAGGCAGGAATTTATTTATCTTTGGGTACATTATGAATAACTGCAGCCGATTTGGCTTGTGCGCAGTTAGGGAAGGCTTAATTGCTTACAAACTAAAACTATCCTATAACTATAACTATACCACATTCCCACTTTGGGGTTTGTTAGTTTTTTAGGCTTCTTTTTTATTAAATATTTAATTGGAGAGTCTTAAAATTGTTCAATTGTTTTCTTCTTTAATTTTTTTTCTCCACTCGCATTCGCATTCAATTAATAATTATATTTACAAACGCATCCATTCTTCATTCATACAAACAACACTTCACAACACTATATACACTTTTAAAGCACGCCACGGCGCGACTTCAATCAGCCGGTCCGTGGCGCTGCGACGTCTTCGGTCCTCAGCGACGCTGGCCCAGCGGAGCGCGCATCCGCGCGGTTTCCCGGCATCCGGTGAGCAGCGATCCCCTTCACGCACTTGCTGCTCCCAAGCGTCGCAGAGGCTAAGAGAGCTTGTGCGGGGCAGTGCGCGGAAGGTGAAGGCGACGTGCTGTGGGCCCTTTCTTCTGTGAAAGGCCCTGTGCACGCCGCTGTTCGCCGCCTCGCCGGTCTCGCGCAGGATGCGCGGAGCGGACGGCCTCAGCGCCTTTGCGAGTGCCGTCCCTGCCCCTCTTTTGTAGCTCTGCCGGGAACTGGTTGCGAAACGCCTAAGATTCTGAAGACGTCAGCATTTTTGGTTGTCGGTCGGGTCTAGTAAAAAGGCAAGTGCGGGCGCGCCGCGAGGCGCGCCGCTCTGTTCTCTGCTACCCGGATGGGCTGCAGAGTGGAGGAGAGCTGCCGCGAATACCTAACAAGCGTACGCCCACAAGGGACGCACGCAAGCTGTGAATAAGCGGCGCTTTAGAGGAATTGCTAAATCGGGCGAGCGAGAAGAGGTTTCAAAGGAGGGTGCGTGTTTTAATTTTGGCAGCGAGATACCGAAGCGTGCGCATGCCAGCAAGGCCGCTGTCAGTAGCACGCCCAAATATCTCGCTTCGCTCCGCCAAGGTAGATGCGTGCCAGCCAAGCTCACCGTTTCATTGGGTTAGCCCTCTTACAGTGAAGTTGACGCGGACGCATTTCTCTGAGGTTGAGAGCGAGGCGTTTCCGACTTCGCATTCAGAAGAAGGCGGCGAGACAATCACTTAAGTATTTAACTGACTGCCTTCGCGTCGCCGATTTCGCGTAAGTACGCGAAATCATCCGCGAACATCAGGAGCCCGCCCGCGTTGAATACCAGTTCTTGTTTCAGCAGAAGCGGCGCGTCATTCACGTATATCCGAAGAGGTAGGAAAGAAAACTCCCCTGAGGCACGCCTGCCTCGTTCGTCTGAGGGACGAGTATACGTATTATCGACGCGCACTTTGAACTGCCTGTAGAGAGAGAACACTCGTCGATCAAGTCTGACGTAAGCAATCGCTCACTCCCGCCACCGCAAGGCACTCGAGCAAACCCGCATGCCACACAGAGTCGAAAGCCACAGCCACCCGCATGCCACACAGAGCCAAGAGGTAGCCGTGTCTCATCTTATAGGAAAGGCGCGTGGGCCGACTGGGTGCAGCGGCGGCCAATAGGTGGAGGGCGGGTGTCTCGTGATTGGCGGAGAAGGAAAAGGGGCGATGGCAGGTGACCAGCTGAGATGGGGGAGGGGGAGTGGGACGGAAGGGTGGGAATAGAGAACTGAACAGGATAAACACCTGGAAGATGCATCTGAGTGGAAGAGAACGGCGGAAATATCGAAAAAAGGATGGTCCAATGGGCCGCCACGTCATTGGCCGTCCGCGGGGGTGTAACTCCGCGGGGCGGGACCGGATAGGTGGGGGGCAACGGCCCGTCTCCAAGTGTTGTTAATACGGAGCCCATCATCTCTCTTGAAGTTTGCGGGCCTCCTAGAGATTTCCAAAGCCTCTTTGATCAAACGAGGCCACCACCGGTCTTCTGTTATGGTGCGGGTTTCGTGGTAATTGACAAGGTGACCCGTTTCCGCGGCGTGTTGTGCCAAGGCCGATTTGTGGATATGTTGAAGCCGGTCATGTCCTTGTCCGATGTACACTAGAAAACAGCTGCACGGGATTTCGTAAATGCCGGCATCTTGACGAGGGTCCAGACTATCCTTTACCTGTACCAGCTTCCTCCAGATCTTGTTGCGAGCGTTAAACACGGGGCGGATATCGGCTCTGCGCAGCAATCTACCGATCTTGTCCGTGACTCCTTTGATGTAAGGCAATCGGCTGTCTTGCGGGGGAGGCTGGAAGGTTCGTATCGTGCATTCGAGGTGGTAGAGTGGAGACTCGATAGGGCTTGATTCACGGCGGATCCGCTGTAGCCATTAGCCAGAAAGGTCTTCCTCAGCAGTACCTTCCCAGACGGCAGGCTGTTGGGGTCACATATAAGGGTGTCGAAAGGACACCACGTTTCGTGGCAGGATGGTAGTGTGAGTCAGCAGTAGGTAGCGATTGGTGTGGGTGGGTAGACACACTCGGTCATTCTGTCTACCGCAAACCCTATTTATAGAAGGGGGAGTTTCTTGGTCTGTCAGAAATTGTGGAAAGGCATCATAGAACCATTTGGTTGACACATACAAACTGTCTGGGTCTGTTCCTGATTTTCGACTGGCAAGTACTTTCTTCAACTCGGCTCTGAAGTTAGTGCGCAGAGAGTTGAACCTCTTTTTGACATCGTCTTCCGTAGCTGAGGGATATTTTTCTTGGTACACGTCCAATAACGTAGTCCACGCCTGGGCGTTTTCGTCCCTGTCCCTGTATTAATCAGACTTTACTTTCCAAAGGTTCGGTAGCGACCTGTACACCTACAACAGAAATGTTTCTACGCGTGGAATCGAACATTTTTGACCATATGAATACAGTGTTCGATCGTAAAATTATTACTAAAATTTAGGAGGGAGGGAAGTGAAACAAAAATAACGCAGAAATTTGTATTAATTATAAAATTAGGCGATGGTAAAGTAGGGGGGTATTTAATTTTTTTTTTGAGTCCCAATCATTCCCTCGTCGCGGCTAAATATAATCTACAAAAAAGACAGTTGAAACATGTTTTTATTCTTCGAACTAGTTGCTACTTATAAGCAATAACTAGTATGTATGTTGCTTACCTCTATACAATGAAGAAAAAATAATTTTTCCTCTTCCTTCCTCTCTGCTTTCACTTTCTTTGCAGCTGGTTCACTCATGTTCACGCGGCGACAGCTCCAAACAGACTAATGAAATATTGCGCAATATTTTGTCAGCCTCCTCACTCTACGCTCTCATATTACAAAATATTGACATGTAAGCAAACAATTTCTAAACTTTCAGAAAACTTTTCAACGCCCCAGAAAATATTGAATACCCCTTTTTTGTACATTATTTGTCCTCACACTCTCAATAATTTTGCACAAAACGGAAATGTTCAAATTTCTGCGCCAACTTTTTGTCAGTGTGAGGGCCCCTTAGGTGTGTTTTTCTCTATTCCTTCAAAAAATGTAAAGAAAAAAATTGAAGCCATTTTTTAGGAAATTTTGAAAATGTCCCAGGGGCTTCATGTAAAGTAGCCCACAATTTTAAAGAAAGTTTTTCAAAATCCTAGCGCCTCGAATTGAGTCAGATCGACCGGAGAATATCTATTTTCGAAAAAATCTTAAGTTCTCAAAATCGGACCTGTGCCATTTTTATAAGTGAATTTTACTTGATTCTTACAAGTAATTTAAAGCAAAATTATTTCGAGCCGTTTTTGAAAAAAAAAATTGAAAATGTCCCTGGGGCTTCATGTAAGGTACTTCCAAATTTTAATGAATGTTTTTCAAAATCTCAAAGCTCGACTCGAGCCAGATGGACAGGAGTTTCTTCAATTTGCGAAAAATACTATGCATGGTTTAGGTGCCAAATGTTCACAGGCGGATCGACGGACAGACGTTTTAAAAACACTTTTTCGGTATCAGGGTTATAGTAGTAGTAGTTGTTGTTTTTATTATTATTATTATTATTATTATTATTATTATTATTATTATTATTACATAATTATATTATTATTATTTATTATATATTATTTGCTCACTAACTTCAGAATCAGGGAAAGCGTGAAGAAATCTTTGATATAACTTTTGTCGGTAGGCCGTAGTGTCAGTCTCCATTTTGTAATGGTGTAGTATTCACGCAGTGATGAAGGTATTTATTCTATAGTCCACTTCATCCTTCTGCGTTGCCTGCCTGCGGCAGTGGTCTCTGGAAGCAATAGATTGCTTCTCTGGAAGCACTTGCGGCAGTTGCAGCTATAAGTGAGATGGATGGGTGCTGCTATGTTCGGCTGTAGTAGTAGTAGTAAGTAGTAGTTAGTAGTATATAGTAAGTAATAATAAATAATAATAATAATAATAATAATAATAATAATAATAATAAAATAATAATAATAATAATAATAATAATAAATAATAATAATAATAATAATATAATAATAATAATAATAATAATAGATATAATAATAATAATAATATATAATAATATATAATAATAATAATATTATTATTATTTATTATTTCTCTATACTACGTGCATTACTCGGTATGCACGTACGTATACGTATACGTAAAAGCAACATTTTCCCGATACCAAGGGCTAACTATACGTGAAATCTGACTACATGTGTTCGAGGGAGTAATTTACTACATATTAGAACAGGATTTCTCCACTTGATAAAAATTCGTAAGCCTATAAGAAGATAGATGAGACTTATGAGAAATAAAACGAAATTGAGCAGAACTTTCCTCCACCATGGACCAGGATGGAGTGCTTTTTTATGTAGTGGTTTCGGGCAAAGAGTATATAGAGTACGGTTTCGGGCGTATTTCTACCATAGTTTCTGCGATGGTGCTGAGTGTCGATCGGTTTTCGATTATTTCTGTTGTAGAACGCGGTGTTTCAATTTCGATGCAAAACTTACCTTTATCATCAGTCTAATAAGCAATCTTACATACTTTTTCTGCTATTAATTTGTTGATGAAAATTCGTCCATAGGGTAGCATGGATGCTTTACTATTTTTTGGGAACAAGACGAATGAAAGTTAATGCTTTATTGTTTATCCTTTCATAACTTCCCTCTTTTCTCACGAATAACGAAAATAAAAACATAATCCCAGAAGAACAGAAGGTTACCAAATATTTCGTAATTAGCTGTAATGAACAAGACGGTTCCAAATTGAATATTTGACTCTGCTAAAATCTGGCAGTCAAAAGTCGGTGGGCTTAATTAGAAGTAACATGTCTTTTATAGAGAATCGTTTGTTGTTGAGAAGCTAGTGAAACACATCCTAATCCCATTTTCTATTAAAAACAATGAATGAAGTGTTTTGTAATTCAGTGCCAGGTAGATAGTAAATATTTAGAAAGGAATTTGCTGATAGCTAGTGTATTTAACAATAGTGTAAATATTAAAGTTTGTGTTATGATTTAGGGAATCATCATCCCTTGGATGAAAAATTAAGACCATCAAGTACTTATAATGATTCAGATAGAAAGAAATTTCCTGGAGTTCATAAAGTTGTCGATGTGTCTTTGTTGCATAATTGTGTCTCTGCTGGCGAATCTCAACATTTTGAACTGAATGGTCATCATGTGAGCATATTTTATAACACATGCGGCTATTTCTTGAGCTTTTATTGCAAACCTTTGTTTTATATAATTTGATCTTAAATGTACACATCAGAAGTCTTGAATTTGTTTAGCTTAGTGATTTATTTTTTTATTCTATCATATTATTGCAGAATTTATTTTAATTTTGTTTTAAAATATGTCTTCTTTCAGATTGTGACATCTGAAACTGCATTTAATGAAGTGTCATGTTGCACTTCTGAAAAATTAACAGTTGATAAGAGTGAACCATTACAAGCAATTCCCCAAAATTACCCCACCTATGACTTTCATTCAGTGTATTATGATGAAGTTGTTAATTATATTAGAACGAAGACACTACCTGAAAATTGTAGCATGAACTACAAAATGCTTCTGAAGAAACGTGCAAGGAATTATTCTGTAAGCATTAAAAATAATCCAATAATCAGTGAAATTGTAAAAATCTCAATTCGTTAAAGGTCTTTTTGAGGTGATTGTTCCCTAATACTGTGTTTTTCTTATTTCTTTGAAGAAAAGTTTTCAAAAAGTACAGGTGTTTTTCTGGAGATTACATTGTGTGTATGAAATAGAAAGCTAAAGTAACATGTGCTTGTAAACTTGACACCTTATTTTTTTAAATTTTTTAAAAATTGTTTTGATATTGAAATATTGGTACTTAGCTCCATGTACTTGCTTTTTATAATTTTTATGGAAATAATTTTATTTTTAAATTTTGTGATTAGTACGGATAAATCAATAAAATTGAGCATGTGGTAACAAGATATTGATTTAGTAGTGCTTAGAACTGATTTCATGTACATGCTTTTGAGATCATACTTGTTAAATACATGATATCAAATTCATTGAATACAAAATTGTACTCTATTTGATCGTATGCATCATTTAATTGCTCATTTATGTACCCCAGGGATTCCCAACTGTTTTCTTTCAGTGACCTCTTTTACACGAATTATTTGCTTCATTGACCCTTTACATTTTCTCTATAATATACGGCATTCATAGTCATGACACACAGAATTGCATGTAAACCCCTTTATCATTGACCCTCTTGAAAATAACATTGTCCCTCAGGGGGTCTACACCAACCCCGTTGGATACCCTTGATGTACACTGTGTTGTAATGTATATTTCTATCTTTAGGCGCAGCATTTTCATCACAAATATTCTATTCTACTTTATTTCCTTAGGTTAAAAACGGAATCTTGTTTTATGGAGAAAAAAAAGTTCTGAGAACTAAAGCTGAACAAGTGCAAATGTTAGAAAAAACTCACGTGGAAGAAAAAACAGGTATTTTTAATTACTTGTGGAATAATTTGTTTTCAAATACTTACTTCGAGTCTGTTATATTGAAAAAAGCTTATCGGTTTCACCTATCTTCATATTCCAGTCTGTCTTTTATCAATCCTTTTTCAATTTTTCCACACGTATTGATTCAAGTTGTATATTTTGTTTTCATTGAGTTACAAGAACTTACATTTCAGTTTAGTTCAAAGCTGTGGTGTCAGTACTGTCCTAATAATTTTCATTGCATTTGGGCAGGTGTTCATCTTGGAGTTAAAAAGATGTCGCAAATTATTAATGCCCTCTATTTTTGGAGAGGACAGTATGTTGACATAGCTAACTTCGTGAGACAGTGTACAAAGTGTACCGAATTCTCTGAATGCTTCTCCCGGAAAGAGAATGTGGAGTATGACACTATAGTTGAAAAATCCATTCTGCCTGATGTGTGTGAGATATGGCAAAAAGTAAGTATAGTTAAAACTTCGGCTTTTTGAATATTGAAAAAAAAAAATTTAAATTCAATGCTAATTCTTTATCTGGGGTTGAAATTACTAAAAAGTTTGGAACGTATCTTCCGTGTCAGTTAGTCATTGAATTAAATCAGAAATTTGTCAAGAAAATGAAAATAAAATTAATTTCAGTGTCTGATTGCTTATAATTAGAGCCCCGAAGTTCTGAAATTTCACCTCAATAGGCATGGGAAAAGGCATTTATTCTGTCTTAAATGTGTGATGGGAAAAGGCATGTAAACTATGAAAAATCACCATTTACAGGAAGTTATTGTAAAAAATAATCAATGAAATGATTCAAATTTGAACTCTTAACCTGGAAGTGCCTGCAGTAGGTAGACTCACACCAGTGCCCACAGTGTATCTCTCAGATATAGCTGCAACTTTTTATGAATGCAAAGATCTGAAGCTCTATTTACTGAAATACATATTCTATTTAGGTTGTACATGTTCCACAATGCAATTGTAATGAATACTCCAATGCAGAAACCTTGTCTGAATACTTATGATGAGAATCATAAAAATTGACAAAGTACATACAAAGATCATTTAACAACTTATTTAATAATATTAAATTCAATTTCCACAAATTATTTTGGCATGTTCTACATGTTTTTCACAAAAATATTTTCAAAGTCTTTGTATTTTTTCCATTTCCTACAGATGTCTCCTACACACCTTTCTCTTTGAGAAGAAATTGTGATAGTTGATAGTACATAAGACAAATGATTATGTTTTCTGAATAGGCCCTTTCAATAGTCATGGCTGAAAATAATGCCGTGATATGTACTACTTAGGCCAGGAGCTCACAATGCACTGGGTCCAGTGCACGCAAAGTATCTGACAGTTAACTGCGCAGCGCAGAGATCAAGTTTCAACATGCTCACAGGAAATGATTGAGCGAAAGGATAAAAATAGAAGGCTAGGTGTACTCAGAAAAGTACAATGAAGGGATACACAAAATAGACTTCTAAAGGATCACAATAATTCAAGAAGATAAAATTGCTGTGGCTTGGATCTGGCAGATCATTTGTGAGCATTGCTGGGTTAACTAATAGTTACATAAGCACTTAAATAGAAGGAAACAATTTTCTCTTTGTAATCTTGATAGCACCTGACCACCAGCTTTTTTCTCTCCCTATTTATCAGAAAGATTATTTTTCTGCTTCCCTCATGAAAATTATTCTTAGTGGCACATTGAAGTTTTGGTATGTTCACTGTGAATGTGTTTCATTCACAATGTTTCTCTGCGAATTGATATTGTGGACTTTCTTTTGAATCTTTGAATGGCATTAAACAAAACACAATTACTGTTTTTCATTCATTGAAATTGTTTAATTGCCAGCGCTGGGAAGGGCCTTCATGCTCAGAGAGCATTGTTCTCAAGAATGTTCAGAGGTTAATCTCAAAGGTTGTTAGGATTCCTTATGAGCAATCAAAGTCTAACAGGATCAATGAAACATATCCAAAAAAATTTCTCTGGTATCTTTGTCCCTTCTTGTTTAGATTTTTTACACTTGCTAGTCCTGAAGTCTCTGCTTGTGGAGAAAGGCAAAATGTTGCAGTACTTTTGTTTGCCCAGGCTTGCATGTATGATTCTAGCTTGGTCAAGATTGATGCCAGGGAAGAAGAAAAAGGGAGGGGGAAAAAAGAAAGAGAAAAGAAGAAGAAAAAGGCTAATATAAAGGCACAATTCTTAAAATAAGCATCAGAAGCTAAAAAAAACAAATAATTTAAAACAACTCCAGAAAGACTGTTAAATAATCCCTATTGTTGAAAGTCTTAAAATCTATCAATAATAAAAGTATTTTGCTAACATCTGGGCTCTACTTATAATTATGAACTTGAGAATTCAATACATGTGTACTTTTGATTATTTGTTTGTTTGAAGTGACATTAAGTTACTAAATGTATGTATTTTGAACTGCATACTCTCAAAATCTTCGAACCGCAAAAGCTCATTTCCAATACTTGACTTAATAAATAAAAAAATATTTTTGGTTATATGCTTAACATTTCATTATTCAACTCCAGAATTTATAGTTTTTTATATTCTTCTCGGAATGAATAAATGACTGAATGAATCTAAATTTGTCCTTCTAGGTAGAACTTAATTTGCATGGACCATATTTCAAGGATGATGGACAGTCGATGTTTATTGCAACTATTGTAGATCCAGTGTCTCATTATGTTGTTGCTAGACTTGTGGCAACAGATAACTGTTCATCCCAATTGTCTTTTTTTATTCTTGACACCTTCTGCACCTTTGGAGCAGTGAAATGTTATTTGAACGAGACATGCAAGCAGTATCTAGATGCTGTGAAACTTACCTTGAAGCAACAACATACTTTTATTCAGAAAATACTGACTCCAAGCAATCAATCATTTCATGATTTTGTGTTCCCTCTTCCTCAAGGGCAAGAAGAGTGTTCATGGATCCAATCCTGTTTGGAACCTTATGTTGCCAATTTTATGCCATTGACTGAAGCAGATTTGTGTGTTTACATATTTGAACTAAATATAAAAATTTCCAGTTCATGTCCATTCATTAGAATGTTCAATAGGCAACCTTATCCTAGACCACAAGATAATAAAGAGAACACAAATATCAATGTAGAACCCCAAAAAATTGATAGACACAAAATTTCACAAAGAAGGTTGCTAAGAAGTAGTGTATTACAGGTAAATAAGCTGTTTTTTATCATATAAATTAAAATGAGTTATCTTTGTTCTACTATGTATAGTTTACAATTTTTTTAGTGTCGACACTGTGAAGAATTGTTTACTTCTAAAATTTCATTTCGCATACATCAACGGAAGCACACTGAAGAAGCGCAAAAAAGAGGAATGCTAGAAGGTCAAATTAAATGTTTTGGGGATAAAGATAGAAGAGTGTTACAAAGACCTTTTTCAAAGCACAGCTCAATCACAGTTAAAAGACGTAGTAAGTATGTTAAATGAAGTAATTTTTTTATTTTTCTGGGTTCATAGGCTTCTTTATTTTTCTTTTCTTTCCCAAATTCACCTTACCTTTGTATTTTGAAATAATCATAACATCTGTTTGGTTAAAATCGAACTGTAGGAGTGGAGGAAAATCAAAATGTACTAAAGGTTACCTATCATGATGATGAGGTAGAAATTTCATTGCCCACTATTACACTGGTTGTCAGAGATCTTTTCATTGGAACAGAAATGGTGTTCTCCCTGAGTTTTGGATGTCAGAAGAAAATTACGAAGTCATATCCCTCAAATGTTATGAGCTTGTAATTTTTTTCTTTTTGCCAAAAACATTTTTAAGCTAGTAATGCTACAGAATGGCACAAACTTTCCCACATTAGTTTTCTATTTCCTTTGGTCGTGGATAGCTATTGGAACGTGCCACATTGCCACCCAAAGTACACTTTTTTGAAATTTTCTCAATTTTTTGGTTTCCTAATTGTATAGCAAAAATATTATTAATGAACAGTAAAACCTCACCCTAAATGTCAATTTTCTTTGAAACATTTGGAGCCGTTGTTAAAAAACTGGCGATTAAATTTGAAGCTCTTTTCACAAAAAAGTTTTAAGTTTTTGAAAAACTTAATTTGAAGTAACTTTAAGCACCTTAACTAACAAATACAATAGTGTTTGCAATTGCTGTAAGTGTGCATATCAACAAAAATCCTGGCACTGTAATCAGGGTTTGTAGTGTGTAAAGGATATGTTTTGACAGGATTCTGCATCTTTTTACTTTTCCGCATCTCTGGCATGAGAGATCTTTCAAAAAATTTACATTTGTGTAATTTTGATAAAACCAAAACAATACACTGAAATTAGCTTTACGTCATATTAAAGAATGCAATTACCACTATCCGTACGATATGTTAGAAAAAAATCTTTGGAGCTGGTTTTTGAGAAAAGGGTGTTTGAACATTACTGAAAATGCAGAGTTTTGAGCTAGTTTTCACTGCAAACAATAATTTTCAAAAAAATTTGTGACATTATTTAAAGCACACGTACTCATAAATACAAGGATATGAACAAATTGCTGCTAATATAAATATTGACAAGAGAGGCAAGCCAAAAAAAATTATATTTTTGTAGTTTTTGAAAAGACAAAAGAATAGAGCATAATGGCGTTTATGTCATATGTCACATTTAGCACTATCCCTACCACAAGTTTGAAGAAAAAAATTGGAGCCATTTTTGAGAAAATCTTGTTTTTGTAAATTTTTAAAATTGCAAATATTGCACAAAAACTATTAACATTTTCAAAAACATGTATATGATCTTAATGAAAGAACTCAGTATGGAGAACAAAATTTATATGAAGGAAAAATCTGTCTTCAATTTTGTTGTTGAGGGAAGACTTTCATCCTTTTGAAATTTTCTAAAATTCAGAGTTAATCGGGCAAATCGGACCTACGTTCATAAGTGTATGTTACTCTATTCTTACAAAAAAAAAAAAAAAAAAAAAAAAAAAAAAAAAAAAAAAAAAAAAAAAAAATTGGAGCCGTTTTTGAGAAAATTTTGAAAATGTCCGAGCTCTTCATATAAAGTACCCGCAAATTTAAAAAAAATATATGTATATATTTTTTTTAATCTTATAGATTCGACTCGAGCCAGATCGCCACGAGTTTCTTCAATTTGGAAAAAAAAATCCTACGCTAGTAGTGTTCACAGACACCAGATGGACGTTTTGAAATAACACTTTTTCGACATCAGAGGACCCCAAGACGTGTATCTAGGTTGAAATCTTGAAATTGATTTTCCGCTGCATTGCATAACTTTCCCTATACTACGTATACGAACTCAGTATATACGTACATACACGGAAAAGTAATGTGATGCATAATCCTGTCCTCTTGTGGTCTCTCCATGTCTTTTCACCCTCTTGGTTCAATGCTGTCTTTGGGCATCTTTATCGCTTCAATGTGGCAATGTTGAAAATTATATTTTCTGACATTTCTATACCTCTTCTTCTTTATCTGTATACTTTTTCTAATATTTTTACCTCTTTGCAATCCTTATCATGACTTCTGTGAAATTGCATTTGTATTGATATATTATGTATACTTATTTCGGTCTGTTGTATTATTTAAAACAATAACAAAAACGAGATTCTCTTAGAAACGGCCCTAATTTTTCCTTTAAACTTTTGGTAGAGATAGTGCTAAATGTACTCTATGAGACGACATAAACGCCAATTGCTCAATTCTATTGATTTTTTCAAAAATTACAAAATTGTAATTTTGTGACGCCTCTCACGTCGTTAAAATTAACATTAGCAATGATTTCGTAACATTATTGCATTTACGCGAACATATGCTTTAAATGATCCTAAAAAATCATATGAAGTTTCTTAGAAAACGAACTTAACATGACGCATTTTCAGGAACGGTGAAACGCCCTCTTCTCAATACAACAACAACAACAACAACAACAATAATAATAATAATAATAATAACAATAATAACGGTTTAAATGTTTTCTTCAAACCTTTCGTAATGATAGTTTGTCCGTGTCTGTCCGACTGTCCGTTCGTCCTGACCGCTCCTGTCGTTTGTTCCTATTCGTTCTCCGTCTGTTTCCGTATGTGTGCTCGTGCCGTCATTGTGGCGTTCGTCCGTCACCTGCCCGTTCGTCCGTCTGCATGTCCGTTCGTCCTTAACCGTCCCAAACCCCGCCTGCCTGCCTGTTGGTCCATTGTGTGTGTGTGTGTGTGTGTGTGTGTGTGTGTTCGTCGGTCTGTGACGTTACCCACTGTCCTGTTCTGTTCATCCGATCGTCCGTTTGTCTCTTCGTCTGTTCTTTCGTCAATCCGTTCGTCCCTCTGTCCGTCCATCTGTTCATCCGTCTGTCCGTTCGTTGGACTGTGCGTTCGGCCGTCTTGTCTTCCTTCTGTCCGTTCGTCGGTCTGTGCGTTCGTCCGTCTTGTCTTCCTTCTGTCCGTTCGTCTGTCTGTTTGCCCGTGTGTCCGTCCGTCAGTCAGTCCGCACGTCCGTCCATCTGTTCGTCTGGCCGCCCATCTTGACTGTTGGTCCGTCTGTGACCGTTCACCCAACTGTCTTTTCTTCCCTTTGTGTTTGTTCATCCGTTAGTCTGTTCGTCCGTGTTTGCACGTTTGTTTGCCCGTCTGTCCGTTCGTCTGCCTGTCTATTCGTATGTGTGTCCATTCGTCTGTGTGACCGTTCTTCTGTCTGTCCGTCCGTTCGTCTGTCTGTCTGCCCGTTCGCCCGTCTGATCGTTCGTCCTTCTGCCCATTCGTCCGTCTGTCCGTTCGTCAGTCTGTCTCTTAGACTCTTTCCTCCTAAAATAAATTTTATGTGATATAATTAAAAATTAAATATTTGATATTTCATATTACAGGCTTTTGTCAAAGAAAGGCTGGGAACATAAAAGCAGTGATTGCAAAATAATGTAAAATTTCTCTTGTGCAGTTGCGAGAAAAAACAACACAATTTATTACATCTGTGAACATATAACTGTACCCAGTGCTTGGCTTGTAAAATGTTAGGTCCTGTAATGCACCTGAAATTAATTATTAATTTAATAGAAATAGTGATATATTTATAATACAACTTAATAATTATTTCCAAAGTATTGGAACACTGTTCTGTGGCATTCTGCTGTAAATCAAGCTCTGACTGCAACTAATGTTACAATTACACGTTTAGCAGTTTTGTTTCAAAACATCATATTCAGGAGAGCATTCCTGTTTCATTTCTTACATATATGATTTCTTTGTTTAGCTTAAAAGTTTCTTTTTAAACATTTACTCCTTTAAGTAGAGGCACTTTTCAGAGGTTAGGAAGATATTTTCTTCCAATTCCCATTTTTATTGTACACATCTTATTTTCCTTATTTACATTCTTCTTTTGTCTTAGTTGAAAAACGTTTCTCTTTCTCTCTCTTTCTCAAAACAACTTTGCAAAGTTTCTCCAATTTTTGAAACAGTTCTTTTTTTACTCATATTATTTGAAGATTGTTAAAGGTGATAAAACCATCATTAATGGAGAAACCTCAATGATGGCATGAGTTAATCTTGTTCATTTTGTTATGTCAGTTTCTTGTATTTTGTGATGACAAAGATGACAAGAGGACCTAGTTTTGAAATGTGGTGTTTTAAAAATGGCTGGGAAATGGTTATGTTTGAAAATGGGCTGGAAACAACTAGATTGCAAACCTGAGCCACAGGTTGTAGACATTGTTTCTAGAAGATATAAGAGCCTGTACAAAAGAATGTCAAGATGCACTCTTGTAGAAGCAAATGACCATTTATCATCCTGTCTTTTATTTTAGCTCTCTTTAAATTAGATGCTATCAAGTGATGTGAGTATTTAAATTTTCTGTTTGTTGCAAATTTGCTTGTATAGCAGGATCGATGAAATATCTCAATGAAACTTGAGTACTTATCCCATGGTTTTTGTTTTAGAGTTACTTTTGGATAACTGTAAATTTTTTGAAAACCATAGAAGTTTTGTATTGTATATGTTGTGAATGTATATTTGCACTGTGATTTTATTTATTGTTCACATTTGTGATTTTCTCTTAAACTGTAGGTCATTCACAATGGGAGACCAAGAGTAAAGGAAGTCCCCAGGATGATGATGGTCAGACCTTGATACAAAGTAATGTTAATGAATGTAGGCGTGCAGAACTAAGGGCTACCACTGTTGAGGCTGTAAGGCGGCTTTTAGCAAAAACAAGAGACAAAAGAAAACGGCGGGGAAAGTACAAAAAATTTCCTACCGATATTCAAGAACAAATGGCCCAATATGCAATGGAGCATGGAAGTTTATTAACTGTTCGTCACTTTTCAGAAAAATTAGGAGTGGTTGTTAGTGAGAGTACTGTGAGAAACATTCTGAAATGGTGTCAGTGTTTTACACCAGAAGTGAAAGACAACATTGGGAAATTTGCTGTTGAGTTTGGAATAGAGGCAGCTGCTTCTCATTTTTCAGAGCATTTAGGGCGAGATGTTAGATTTGGATTAATTCGAAAATTCAAAAAAAGTTATTTGGCTCGATATTCTAATTTGAAATATTCAAATGAAAAAAAAACTGAAAAAACAAGTTTTGGATGTGCTACTGATGTTTCTAACATTCCGAATGAGGTTTCCTCCTCTGAAATGAAGGAAGCCATAGGACGTTATGCTAGTGAACATACAGTATCCTTGGCTATCAGTCATTTCTCTCAGCAATTTAACATAAATTTGAGAGAACATGTAGTTCGAAAGTATAGAAAATTGTATCAGGATAAACAGAAAAGTGTGCAACAGCAACAGCAGCAGCAGCAGCAGCAGCAATGCTTGTGTTTACAACAGCAAACTCTAGATTTGCAACCGCAAATTCAACAACAACAACAACAACAACAACAACAACAACAACAAACGTCTCCAAAGCAACAGTCAGTACTCCATCATCATCATCATCATCAGCAGCAGCAGCAGCAGCAGCAGCAACAACAACAACAACAACAACAACAACAACATCAACATGAACATCAACAACAACAACCACAACAGCAGCAGCAGCAGCAAAACTTTGAACACCTCCAGCCACTTCAGGAAGAGCAACCGACAGTAGTTGCAGTTCACCAATCGCAGGCAAAGTTGCATAATGAACCCTTGGTTTGTGACAATGGTGTCACACTTCTTTCGTTGCAGCAACCATCCAGTTCTAATGGACAGGAAAATGCTATTCAGACGTCTAATCAAACAATTGATATTCTTCAGACATCTTTGAATTTACTGAACAATCCCCAATTAAATAATTCGACTGCCATAATGTATAATACCCCTTATCAAATGCCTTCCACTTCTCATGTTCCTTCAAATCAACTTATTTCATTAAATCAGCAACAGAATGCACAAATAACATTTCATACCATGAACCAATGCAATAATGGCAATGTTCCTTCATCTGTATCCCTTTCATATCAATCACAAGATGTACCTATTTCCACATCTGTTATTATTAACCAAAATGTGGCCACTGTACAAACATTTCCTAACACACAGATGTATCCAGCTTTTACTCAAACACACTCTGTTCAGCCAGCAACTTTAACAGTTTCTGATAGTAGTCAACAGCTGCCTCCTGCAGGAACTGCTATATCCAGTCTTCCTCACCAACCTCGACCTTTACCATCTCATTCAGGTCTTCCAACCATTACAGTTGCTGTTGCGCCTCTTCCAGCTGACCCTCATTTTCAAACAGCCAGTAGTCAACCAGCTGTTGTTCTCTCTCAGCCTGTCCCTCAGCCAATTTTAGTATCTCACTCGCAGACAGGGACAACTCTCCTGCAACACATCTTTGATTCCCAACCTCATCTTCATGCTACTCCTCCCCTAATTCCCCAGCAAATAATGAATGAAGTGCACACTAGTGTTCATGCCTCACAAACATTTTCACAAGATGTTGATAAGCATGCTGCTGTAACTTCTGAGGTGTTATCACCTGCCATAGGAAGTAATATCCCTACTGATATATATGAAAACCCAGCTCCATTTGTACCTGAAAACAGAAGTCCTCCTTTCACCGACTCTGTGAGATCCCATTGTGCAGAAGACATGGAGGTAAAGAGAGGTCATAAGTATACTGAGGGATTAAAGAATTTAGAATCTCATGTTTCATTGACAAAGATGACAACTTCTTTGTTCAATTCTCAGGTGGCTGCTCTGCAGCCATTGGTTTGTAACCATCCCAACCACACAAAAGACTCGGACAATGTTGAAAACAATCCTCTGCCTGTGCAGTGCTCTAAACAGGAAGAATTAAGGTTAGTTAATAAAGTTAAGGAGAAAGGGGAAAAGAGTTATAGTAATAATACTTCTACTACTACTACTACTACTACTAATAATAATAATAATTGATGATAAAAAATAGTAGTAGTAGTAGTAGTAGTAGTAGTAGTAGTAAATAAATAATAATAATATAATAAATATAATAATAATAATAATAATAATAATATTAATAATATTAATAATAATTGCAACTCTAGTAGTGTTGGTGAGTGTAATACTGATCCAAAGAAAACTGCAAGAAGGAGTAATGGTAAGAAAGAGAAGAAAGTTATTTGTAAGGGAAAGAGCAAAATGAGTGAGCAAAAACGAGGAACATATGCAATTTATAGCCCAGAAGTCAGAGCAGAAATGGGCAAGTATGCTGCTGAATATGGTTGTCAGAAAGCATGTGATTACTTTCAAAATAAACATGGTTACAATGTTGCTGAGAGCACAATGCGAGGTTTAAGAGATAAATACCTAAAGAAACGGGAATTATGCTCACGTGAAAATGATGGAGAAGTAACATCTCTAGGTTATGCTCCGCGGGGACGCCCTATGCGCTTGGGTCAGTATGATGAGGTGGTACAAGAGTGTATGCAGGAACTTGTGAAATCAGGTGAAAAGATCTCTTCATTTTTGGCAATTACTACAGCAAAGCATGTTCTAATGCAATATGAACCTCACCTCTTGGAAGAAAATGGAGGTAAAATTAAATTAAATGTCACTTGGGCAAAATCATTTCTCAAGAGAAGTGGAATTAAAAATCATTCATGAAAATTGGTTCAAGAGGTTGTATTAAATAAATTTATCTTGTGACACTGTTATACTTGAGAAAAGGCAACAAATAGATTAATTGAAGAGTTGACATGGAAAAAGGTGTTGGTGCAAAAATGTAAATTTTTGAGAAGGAAAAACTGATTTTAGCGTACAAAAATGATTTATTTACAAACATTCTGCATTCAGTGTGTGTGTTTTAACTTTTAAACAATTTTAATATGATGCACAAATTTTCTTGTAAAAATCATTAGACTTAAGGTATAAACTGCAGCATCAATACAGGTTTCATGTGTTGGATTCTTGATCATAATGGAAAATGAAAATTTATACATGGTATTTTTTTTGTGTATTTTCAGTTGTTTTTCAAACCTTTAACCAGTATTAAAATGGTTTATTCAATAAGATGACTTATTGAATGCATCAAAACATCTTAAGCTGTGAACTTTTCTACTTAACCCGCAAATTCAATTAAGTGGAGTTTTGCCAGTTCACTCTATTTTTTACTCGTACTTGTGTTTTTTGTAAGTTGATGGTGCTTTAGTAAATAACAATGTTTTTAATAGTAGTATGTCAGTTGTTAAAAAATTTTTTTTTGGTTAATTATAAAAGTGATCTGAATGAAGTAGTTCTGACTCTAGTCAACATGGATGAAATAATTGAAGTCATCTTTATCAACTTAGATTGTATTCCGAGGGCCTGCGTGCTGCTTACAATTCTAAATATGAAAAAATAAAGAACCAGAAGACAATCCAAATAATACAATTAATAAAAATATTGAAATTAACGTAAGTACATTTAAAAATTATTTTCCAATATAAAGAAGGTTTAATACAAATAATGAAAGTAAAATAGATATATTAAAGAACAAATAAAAGAAACAATATGAAATGAAATTTTTAAAAGTGAAACAATAAGTTGAGCTGCTTACCTTGCTGAATGTGGCAAATGGTGGAAGACTGCGCACAGAGGGAAGTTTGAAACATTTTTAATGTGTTTCTGGGGCGGCGGGTGAGGGGTCGTAGGAGGTCACTACAGTGTGGTGACAATGGATAGTGCATTTCAGCAGTGATGACAGCGATGTGAAAGACAAACCACATCGCGGTCATCCATGCCACACCACACAATGAAAGAGCACTTTGATCAATTCATCCATGCAAATATTCTTGGGGGGGGGGACTGTATATGGTGCAGGGGAAAATGATCGAAAATTGTGCGCTAGGTGGTGATCATGGAACATAGGAATGACATAGGAACAGAATCAGGAACAGAATATGATCATAGGAACAGAAACATGGAAGTTGGTGAGAAGCTTTTGACCCAATATGAAGCTGAAGGTGGCGGTTTTCTGTATCGAATAATCAGCGATGACAAGGCATGATGTCACCATTATGAGCCAGAAATAATACGACAATCATGGAATAGCGCCATAAGAGTTCCCATACGGGTCACCTTATCTGGTACTGATTTTTGTCAGCATGGCATGCAGGCTCTTGTTCATTGCCAGATAAAATGCATAGAAAAAATGAGACTATATTGAAAAATAGTGTTGTGTTCAAAAATACTCTGTTCTAACAATAATATAATATTTTTTATTTTATTTACTATAGTTGTCATACAAATAAATGGAAGGCATTACTTTCAGAACGACCCTCGTATGTTGACAAAGATTACTTCAATTCTTTAATCCTTTAATATTGTCATCAACACCTTATCAGCATTTCCACAATTCTAGTCAATATGTTAAAACTCTGTAGGCTGCTATTCTGTATTTTTTGTGCATACATCTTATGTTTTTTATTTGTCTTTTTTATCTGAACAATTTAAATGTTAAAAATATATATAATTTTTTTTTCTGATTTAAAAAAATAATTTTTTAGACAGCCACTAGTAAAATTTAAATCTGGATGATGTATTTTATATTTTTAATATTATACCAATATTGTGTGTAAATAGTGGCATTATTGTATTAGTGAATATTGAAATAATAATGCAGGCAATATGACCTCTTCTAAGAGGAACTTTGAAAATAGAAATGTGACTATTTATATGACATTTCAGAAATGTAAAAATGAGATAGCCGCAGGTTATGGACCAGGAACAAGCAAAGCCCACACACTAATTCATACAGTAATTGTGCCAAGAAGCAAGAATGTCTAACTTATCAGCCATGTATTTATTGTTAATTGAATTTTACTACAAAGTTTTTAATGACAGACAGTTTTTAGATAATAAAAAATGTATTCAATCTTCTGAGCAATCACATCATAACAAAAAACAATAAACTTTTAATGATGTGATTGCTCAAAAGATTGAATAAATTTTTTATTATCTAAAAACTGTATGCCGTTAAAATATTTGTGTCCAAATTCAATTAACAATATATATGTTAATGATAGTACAGATTAAGTAATGATAGTACAGTCCTAATTGATTTATCAACCATGTGTTCTCAATGACTACAATGTATGCTTTACATCGAAGAACAAAATGCAAACATATTTTATTTCATAAATATTCATTACCTCTGATAATACAGTTCAAATGAAAGTTTACGTGGAGGAAAGTTTGAAAGTAAATCCACTCATTGTAAGGTCTGCTCATACGGTAGTGTGGGGGCATATAGTACAGTGTATACTGTGTATTATACTGTTACTATTTCCATGAATAATATTAGTCTTCCTTTCAGTTTATGTGCAGTACATATATGTGTGTGTGTGTGTGATATTTCAATAATATTGATAAAACTATGTTTCATAATTCAAATTTTTTTCTAACTCTACTTATTTTGTTTCCGAGTGTAAAGAGATATTAAGTGTGGCTGTTTTTTAAATTTTTTACTCTTGTGTGCATTAAATGTTTAGATTGTGTACATAGAATTATGTAAGGAATAAATTTGTACATTGAATTATGTAAGGAATAAATTTGTACATTTATATAATTTGATGAGTTTTGAGTTTTATTATTGTTTGATCAAAGTCATTTCATACATTTTGTGTGAAAGAAATAAAATGAGATTTGGGGTTTGCTAATTAGTTTGAAGAAGGTTAAAATTAAAGAAAAACGTTAATCGTGAGAAGAAAAAAAATCTCTAATCCTTGAAATTGATATTACTCCACTCAAGGGTTTTAACCCTCATATTCTAAAGAATCTTAGATTTAGATTTATTTATTATTAATAATTCTGCAATTAAGTGTAAGAACTTGGTGGCAGAATACACTAACTTAACATTACAGAACTTAACAACTATACAAACTCTACAAACGTTACAAAATCACATAAACATTTCACCGCAATCTTTATCTTTAAGTCACTAGTTGTATTCATCAAAGTGTTTGGAAATGAGGTGAAGTATATTGAAGGTGCTAGATACTTTTCTGTTTTGTGCTGGATTGCACAAAGAGAGAAAAATGTTTATGAAAATTGGTTATTTGCATTAAAAAAATATATAAATCCAATTTTTAATTGACAGAAACATTAGAGAAACATGTATGCTGCTAACCCTTGTTTAATGGAGTTGAGTTATCCAAAGGAGATTAATCTCTGACAAAATAATACAATGACAAAATATTTCATTTTGTAAATTTCCGTATCAGAAACAACTTGGAAAACCAAGTTTCAAGAACCCTGGACTTGTTTGAGTTTTGTGTGATTGATGTATTGAGAAACATTGTTGTGTATTGTTGTATTATGGATTGCATTTATGCCTACCTGATAGAGATGCTCCCCACCCGTATCGTCCTCTATATTATTTCAGTAGTACACATATCTTTTGCGGCTCTCACACGAAATCGATCTTTATAATAACCATCATTTACAATAAACCTCATTTAGGTTTCTAAAGAAAAATAATTTCACGGAGACGTGACGAATTGCACTTTGACCTTAAAAATATAAAGGATTTGTTTAAAAAAACGCATCTAAATATTCATGTCAAATGCAACCCACAGCACTGTCAGCTATATCGTTAAATAACTCTTAAACGAAGCGTTCTCAGGTCTTAAAAACTAAAATTGGCTGAAGACTTCAAAGAATCGTTCATCAAACAGTAATATACAGGATGAGATATTCTTGGGCATTCTAATAAATTTATTGCTGGCTCGGCACCTACCAGATGCTACCAATACCACCTAGATTTCAACCCTTGGTGATGGTGGTCATCTTTGTGACGTCACGCTTAGAAGGCTTAGATTCCTATTCCTATACTTTTTACGTTTTCTGTGTACACCGTGGTTTGCGCAGACTGGCGATGTTTATTTGCATAATTATTAATTCAAGATTCGCTCTCGCAGCAACAGTTAGAAGTACTAATAATAGTTGCGTGATACTGATGAATGTTTCTTATGCGTGTAGCTTCATTTGTTTTGTTGAGGTCTACAAATGCTGTATACCTAATTGTGAGGGATGTGGGTGTAGTGTGAAGGGTGAAGACATGTCTTGTTAGGTTCGGTTTGTGTTTTACCTGTGCCAGTATTTTCATTATCAGCAGTGATTCGGTGAAACTTTCAAGTCAGTGTGTTCAGCCACATAGCTTTCTCAAAAGTAAAATGCTTTTTTAAAAATAGTTTGGTGACTATCACAAAAAGTGAAAAGCTAACTGTGTAAAAAGATTGAATAATTACTTCAAGTAGTTTTAATGGAGCGTTGTGAATTGTTCCAAAAAATCTTTCCATAATACTGAATAAATATTTAGTGAAAATTTCTTTTCCACATAAATTATATTGTTTTTATTTGGTCTTGTGTTAGTTCAAAAGAAGTTACCTTTATACATTTTTAAACAAATACGTTTTGTTAACAATTTTTTCTCTTAGAATGGAAATAGCATACGGAAGAGTGTGGGTTTTAACATGCAAGATGTCTCGCACGAGTACATGGAGATGGTAGGGGAAAACTTGTGCTATGGCACAATACAAAAAAACAAACTTTTTAAATTATATAAAGTAAAATAGTTTGAAATGAACAACAAAAATCAAAACGTGCTAGCCTGCAATACTACGAGAATGAATTTAAAAAAGCAACCACATTTAACATTATAGAAAGGATACCGCAAGTCATTCGACAACTGCCAACGATCACAATGCACACGCACGATTTAAATGGCTGGCGGTATTTGGAAGTCTGTACGTCGATGCCCAGCTGTAAACTCATATTGTAAGTAATACACCGTTTGATACTATACTTAAGGTGTCGGTTCGCTAAGATATTCAATACGTAAACATCGTCTCAGCGTACAGAATAATTGTTTCTAATGGTAAGAAATGGTATTTATTACACAAAAGTGAAAATATTAATTTTATTATTATTTGGCTGGGAACTGCTTTTGTTGAGGTAGTTAAGTGATTTTCTAGCCTCGGAAACAAGTTCTTAGCAGTGACACAACATCGCATCTCTTCACCCCCTAGTATCAATTGAAACTTCTGTTAATTAAATCGTAGCAACTCTTTCTTGCGACTGACAGAGAAAGAGAAGAAATGAATAAATTAAGCGTTGATTTGGGCGTTTCGTCAGTTGCCCTCCCTGTGCCTCACACGTGCTCGAAGGCGGACACGTGCAGGGCGCGGGGAGTCGGTGCGGGGGCGGCGCGGAGGCCCCAGGCGCGCAGTGTGAAGAAGTAGACGAGCTCCACGAAGCTCAGCAGGCTGGCGCCCACCAGGAGACCGCACGTTCCGCCCATCGACACTGCGCACCAAACATTTCTTTTTATTTACTGTAAACGTATTGAAAGTTAAAAACTGTTGAACGTGTAATAGAGAAGTGCAATCTTTACACGTTTTCTTCAGCTCCAATATACCTAATGCTTTACTCCTGTGTCTCAGAGTAAATGTCACAACCTTCAAATGTATGTAGAGAGGTTGAAGATGATTACCAATAAACATGCGATGGGAAATCTCATAAAACGTTGATAAATGTGGCAGATTGCGAAATAATTATTTATTTCAACGCTAAATCCCGCCCTTGGACGAGGGGTAGCTGACATGGGCTGCATGCTAACAACAGAGCTGTCCTTTGGACCCACCCACCCCACCCTCCTTTTGTCACCAATGCTAGGAGGGGATGCTGTCAGGTCAGCCGGGATAGACCCTGTTCATCTCTTTAAAAAAATACGTCAAGCATCCTCGTTTTGTGGGAGCGCCCTCCACGCTAGGGGATAATTGAATTTATTGCGCGTTTCTCTCTGACAACGGGAGGGGTCGCGAGGCTCGTGGCAAAGGAGACACATGTCAGCAATGCGGATATGGCACCTGCGGACACCCTTTGATTCGTCACACACCCGCACGAGCGCGCACGACGCCGAGTAGAAAGTTTATTGCTTATTTGTTATACCGACAAGTAGCTGGCTAAGATAGCTGCAAAGTATTGTCATGGACTAGAGAGGCGCAGAAAATTTTCGGATGTTCGAAAGATTTGGTGTTGTCGAGTATGCGACTGTTACCCCTCTCCCACACGGAGACATAACGGATAATATTCGAAAGCAATGAATAAAAAGTAACATCATTCATGTAGGAACATGATTGGTTCAGGAAGTTTCGCTCGACACTGTTCTGCCGAACTTAAGTGGACCAATCATGTTGCCTTCGAAAATTAAGGTTAAATTTGCTCTTAGAACGAAAAGACACATGCTCTCGTGCTTACGTCGTGCACGGAGGTGCGATCATCGGACCTCCACATGAAGACTCCCGTTACTTCTCGAGATCGCTGGACTTAGTAAAATTTCACGCGCATGCGAACGTGAATATGCAGTCTCGCCACGTAAAATAAGGCAAATTCAATTCAAAAACGTGTGTTATCTTAGCACGTAGCTCACGCATAAGGTATTTCTGGTACTCTGGTAACCCTTTTATGCACTTCAAATACACCTAATTTGGTTTGAATGTTTTTGAATGGGAGTAAGATGAATAATTATATTTAACATTTACCTTTGAAAAGTTTTGTGAGCAAACTTTTACTGAAGAAGCTAATAAAACTATTAATACATATAATGACATGAAATGCAAGAGATAGCTTTGCTGATTATGATACCAAGTTTTAATGACCCGTTGTGTCGCCTTCCAGGTTGAGTCTCCAGCTTGTTGTTTGTTCACGCACGCACATGGCGTACACCCGCCCGCGCCGCCCCCTCCCATCTCTGCCCGGCCGCCGGACAGCGCCACCCATTCCTCCCGGCGTCTGTCCTTTCTCTTTAAGGCCATTGTCTGCTAATCCGTCTCTTCGACACCGAACCGCCGGCTTGCCACCCTCTTGTTCCTTCCCACGTGCAGCGGGCGTCCGCTACTGCGGCAAGCGGTGGCGGGCTCCCGCTACGCGAAGCGGAGGAGGGGGTGCCCGCCACCGCTAGCAGAATATAGCTTTAAATTCTGAGCTGAGAATATAGCTTTAAATCAGAGATTTTCGGCGGCCTCTCCCACGGTGGCCCAGTGAGCCCCCTCCGCCACGCCGTCGCGGTTGCCACCCCCGCTCCAGGGAGTGGCGGGTTCTATATATTCGTGTGCACCACCGCGCTCCAGCAGATGGCAGATTCAGGTTTAGACATGTGAAGGCGAGACACGTGAGGACGGGACTTGTGACAGGAGCGGAGCGGACGGCATGGTTAGCATTCAGGGCCGCAGGCTGCCCACATCGCCGATGGTCGGGGCTAGGGCCGCCCATCTCGGCATTTGTTAGGGCTGATGTGCCCACATCATATAAATTGGACCACGGCAGCGCGCACTGCCTGGTCGTCGTGTCCGGGGAGCCTGCAGCGTTCCCTCAGAGGCGCACTGTGCGTGCTCAGCGACCTCTGCGCAGTGAGTGTCATGTCCCGGCGACAATTGGGGTGAGCTCAACATCTTCATTAGCAGATACCTGTTTCTGCCTCCGAAGTGCCGAGCCAAGCTGCTCAAGCTCAGAACATTAATCAGCATTATTTGAATTGAACAGTTGTAATCAGTATCAAGAGTCATTCATTAATGGATTTTGTCATTTTAATTGCATCAGTTAATTTTACAATTATCATCTGTAAATTAATTTTTAAGTTTTAGATTTAATTTTTATAAAAAATTCACCGCTCGGGCCCGGCACGCATTAGTGTATTGTATATTAATTATTCTTTTGTTTTCATATCCTTTCTTAAATTGTAAGTTTACATTTTATTAATCCAAGAGGCATTATTAATTAAACGAATATTTAAGCTATTCGCTTTGTCATTCATTTCGGCCGATCCTTCATTTCCTCGTACGAGGTGGTCCTCCAGCGTTTTATTTTAGTAGCCCTCTGGCTACATCATGTGAACTACCGGAGGCCGATATGTGTGTGTGCTGGGCGCGCCTATAGCCAACAGTACAGTCCCCGCTGTTGGCTCATCATCGTGCGTGGCGCCGTGTGAGAGGTGGGTACCAGGTGAGTACCGCGTCTGCACGCGCTCGCACGACACGGAAGCGCAGTGCGCATACATTGTTCTTTCGGCACCACAACCGTTGACCAAGAATCACCGTCGGCTTGAATTGCGTTCTTTGCCTTCACCACAAATAACACTTGTAAAGGTGTGCAGAGTTTGATTAGTTCGCAACAGTGTCGCTGATTACGACAATAAGACCGATTACGAAGACTAACGTTCCCTGAACCCAAATGTTTGCTATGGCGAGAGAGCGCACCGGCTCCACTTGTCTCGACTTGCTGCGGTCGACTGAATGTCCGTTGCCTCCTGTCCGGAAGCACGGGAACCTCGGCCCCGACGCTCGGCCTGTGCACATGTGCTCAGGAAAAGAAACAAGTCTGTGAAAAAGTGACAAGGATTTTGTAACAATTTGCTTCCCGTGAATCAGTTACGAAAAATTTCATCCGCTCCATGGAAGCGAGCGTTGTCTGGCATGCCTGGATGCCTCTGCTGTCGACGTAGACCGGCCAAGGCAGCATTAGGGCCCTTTACACGGGGATTCTTAGCTGCGCGGGCAGGACCGTGGTTCGCAGGGGTGTGATTCTTATTTCTGCCACGTTTCTGCGCGCCTCTCAACAACGATTCGAGTAAAATCGTCCGTGTGATATTATCAGCGTTCTAGAGCGCGCTCTTGTGCGGCGCGCGGAACTTCCGAGATCCGACGGTTCTTACGTGCGTTCCTCAACTGCTGCTTCCGCTGCTGCTGCCACTCTGTGTTGGAGCAGTTATATATGTTCTGATAGTGAATCAGATTAGCTTAATTAGAAATGTTGTCCGTTCCCAAATATCGTAAAAGCGAAATTATAGCAGTGCTTGGAATTAGTACCACAACACTATACCAAGAAGAAAAACACGCACTGTTTTGGGTACAAAGTTACAGACAAAAATATAATCGTATGCTGCTGTTGAAGGAATTAAAGGAGAGCTATTCTGATGACATCCCGTACCCCTCATTTCTAAAATTTTTATAGTATACCCAGATGTTTCAAGCTTTCGGGTATAGACTAGGTCATTCCCTACACATGGAAGGAAACTCCCTCACCATATCCTGACTCCAGCAACGAGGATCCGCAATTTCAAAATACCGCCCGGCTGGTCACTATCTCCACTCGCAACAAACCTCCACGTGTAAATGCGAGCCACGCTTTTGCTCGCAGCGTTCCGAACCGCGCTCTTGCGCACAAACCTAACTTCCCTTTAGATCTGCGGTTTGAACCTTGCACCTGAGTGGCTCGCTGCCCGGCGCGCGTTCAAGAACGACGGTGTAAGTTCGCCTTTTGGCCTGAGGCGAACCACGCGTCTGAGCGGGGGGGGGGGCAGGTTTTCTTCCGCTAGCCGAGGGCGCGTGCCACCCTGCTCCTGCTGCGCCCCCGCCCCTCGAGTCCGGCGCGCGCCGTCAACCCGCTACGAGCGCCTGCTTCCGGCCGACGCTCCACCAGTACCTGAGCAACAGTGGTAAATACTGTGTGTAACAAGCGGCTATGTCTGTGGGGCTATTTTAATGTTGAAGAAAGAAAAACTTAATTGCAGAAATGCCGCGCATGGCTTTTAAATGTACGTAAAAGTAAATAAAATATACCACAAATGGCGATTTGTAAACGGTATTGTATTTTTTATATTTAATTATAAAATTCAGTTTTTAATTAAACATTTTCACTTAAAATTTTTATGGCTTACGTTCTTTCGGGATACACTCGTTGGCCCGAATTGCTTCCTGCTCAAGTAGCTTCCTGTCAGCGCCCAATGATCACCCTTTAGAATTACTTTCAAAATTAGACGAATGCTACGCTAGAGACAGATTAGTTCCACCCAGCGAGTCGTCGGATGCTACAAACCCCAGTTGGTCGGTGCAACGCAGACGGCTGCCCGCAATAACGTGACAGTTGCCCCTGATAGACAATACCTTATACACTGATGTTCGAAGGGTAAAATATATTCTTTGAGTCAGACCTTGTCCATTGAGAGATGCCTAGAATTCAGGTCTAACTGTTACATGTGTATATGTTGGAATACAATTTAGGCATGCCCATTGAATAAATCGTCAGCATGACTGAACATTATAACGTATATTTATTGTCTTAATAAACAACACTATAGTTATACGGTAGTGAGTATGCGTTTGTTGCCTTAATAAATACTACACTAACAACGTAATACTACTACAGTATAAACGCTAAGTGATATTTTCCACCTAATATTCATTGGCAAAATGCGATCATCTTCAACTCTCTCTACATGCCTGTTTCAAAAACGCTCATTTAACGCTCATGCGAACCACTACTGATGTTGCAAAAGTTCCTTTCTCCCGGACAGAGGGCAGGAGAGTCCAGTCTACGGACGTTGCAGAAGTTCCTTGCTCCCCGACAGTGGGCGAAAAGGCAGTCTACCGGTGAAATGCGAACCAAGGGAGCAGGTGCGCATTTTTTCGTCAGTTGGCAAATGTAACTACACAAAGGCAGTCTAACGTTAGCAGTTCAAATCAAGTGGAGCCCTGTGCGCTCATTTTCACAACTTTGCAATCACAACTTCAAAAGGGACGACCATCATCAAGACAACGGGATTCTAGTCAACGGTTGAGCCGCCAAGAGAGCACGTTTTCGTAACTAAATCTAAACTTATTCAAACATTGGTACCAAATTTTAGCAAAGCCAGCTTTTGCAATTAAGGTCATATATGTATAAAATAGTTATTAGATTCTGTAATAAATTTGCTCATAAACTTTTAAAACCACGTGCTCATACATTAATTGTCACTAGCCATTTGATTCCTATTCATAACTATCTATTCAAATTAGGTGAATCTGAAGTACAAAAAGAGCTACCAGAGTCTCAAAATACCATTCAGGCTTCAGATTCATCAATGCCCTAGAAGTTTGTAACATTTAATCCGAACCCACTGTATTCGGATGTCGTTTCGCCCAGGAAGGGAGCGACGGGAGAGGGAGAGGGAGAGGGCGGACTCACCCACTAAGTCCAGCTTGGTGCGCACGACGTTCCTGCGGAAGCGCACCGTGGGCAGGTTGTGCAGCACCACGTACACGGGCGCCGAGGAGAAGTTTTCCCTGCGAGCACCACGACACTTCATGGGCTTCAAAGATTGCAAAACGCCACTTACAATTAAATACAACATTTTTAAACTCTCGTAAGTCACTCTCTTTTTCATTTTTGCTTTTTGAGAGAAAATAGATGCTGCAGGATGGATGCATCGTTGCATGTGCATCTTGTAAGTCAGATGAATAGAATGACCGTGCAAACATGGCAAAGTTTTGGTTTAGTTTTGAAACTGTAAGTCATTGACTTACGGGGTACGCATGACGGGAGTATGTAGTATGTATACAATGAGTATGACTGGGAAATCACTGATAGATAGATTGTTAAAAAGGGGTGTTCAGTACCGAAATATCCTTATGTACTATCATGGAAACACATATTTCAAGTTACTATTTCTGTCATATGAATCATGTTTGATGTAGATGCACATTGTCATTTCACATAACATTATAATAAATGTGTCAAATTACAAACAGAATCTCCAATGTGTATTTATTTACACGTTTAGGCAAACAAGTTCTGATTAGTTTTTGAAATCTCATAAGTCATAAACTTTTAAATAAGTCCAGCGACTAATATATTATTGATAAAAGTAAATTACATGACTCCACAGCATCCTTAATCAAGGTTTGTACATCAAAAATAAACACAAACAAACAGAAACGTTCTCTATGTGCTTAATTATTCCGTTTTTCTTGGTTGAACACAATTCAACAATTCCTGACATGTAGAGTTTTAAAAATAACCCATTCAATTGACGAAACTGATTTTGCAACTTTTAAAACGAAACGAATAAGGAAACCGGAAATTAATATCAGATTGCTAAAAGGAAACAAAAAATAACACAAAAATATTTTATATACAAATTCACTTATAAGTCTTGTACCTTGTCCCTATACAGAATTGACCTCTGACGTGGTGAAATTGGAGAGAGAGAATCGGAAAAAGAGAACGAATGGAATTCTGTTTCTGCGAACAGGGGAATTGTTTCGTAGTTTAAATATGTTTGGATGATTTTGTGAACTGCGTTTATATTTTCACATTTTATCAATTTGACGAATGACTTAAAGAATATCACAGTGGAGTGAAACCTGTTTTAAATGCTTAATTTCATTGAAAGTTTGGAGCTGCTTTTGAGAAAACGCATGAGCGTTTCTGAAAATGCCCAATTTTTAGTTCATTTAAATCACTTGTACTCACAAATGCATAATCTATAAAATGCCCGTACTGTAAATATTGACATGTGAAATATTTAATAATTTACATTTCTGCAAGTTTTGGAAAATCAAAAGAATACATCGAATTAATAACTTCTACCACATCAAAACATCTAAGAAGCTCAACTCAAAAGGACAAGTCGCACTGTCCAGAACAAGATCAGGCGACACAAACGTAAGTAATCTCTTTCTAATTATCAAACATCCCCTACACTTTGTGATAGCTGCAACACTAATTTAACGATATACCACATCATAGAAACCTGCCCTAAATGCAGTCATCAAAGAGAATATACAAAACTGAATAAAGCTTTAGAATCATTGTATTCGACCGAATATCAGAACCAATTGATCAAATTTTGTCAAAATTGTAATATTCTCAATGACATATAATTCAAACTTTGTGTTATAGTGTGTATGTTTGGATTGTACTCAAACTGTTTGAACTCGTATCTGATTTACAAATTGTATTACATCTGTTATGGAATCCAATCTGTTTGTTTTAAGTATGTAGAATATGTATATATTATATTATTATTGTTAACTCAATGTACTAGTATTGAGTGGCTAATGTTGCAATCTTAGTTGTCTATGCGATTATAAATAAATGAAACAAAATATTACATCACAATAACGTTTGTTATGATATGTGAAATTGAATATATCTGGAACAAAATGACAACGTATCGTTTCTTGAGCACAGCGTAATTATTTTGTAGAGTCTAATAAAATATGTTGCGCACAAAGCTAATACGATCAGCCGGACCTCGGTTCATACCTCATAATACCTGGCTTTATTCTTCGATATTCTTAAATTCATACTTCCGTTCCATCGTTAGTGAGCCGTAAAACTGAGAAAATGTGAAAAAATGACCTTGGGGGAGCTGTGAAGGACAGCTGGGAAGTGGATGGTGCAAAACCGGTAAGTTGGCCTAAAGAAATGAGAAACGTAACTAGTATTCGAAAATATGTGCTATGCTGTAGCACCATTACAGAAGTATTTGAAACGCAAGACTAAGTCTTACAAAACTTCTTTAAATACAAATTAATCAAATATATTATTAGTATTAGTCAACTAAGATCCCATTAAGGGCAAGAGCCATGTGCCTTTTGCAGGGAATGTTGAATGAAGTGATTGGGTGATGATAAGGGGTAAAATGACTAGGATGATGGTGAGTGGTGACAAATGGGATGGTGGGAGGTGATCGTGGCATATTTTAACCATCCCAGCATTCGTCTTATGAATGAGAGATACCATAAAAACCGTTCAGAATGGCCGGTCCGGGGATCCAACTCGGACCTCCCGACTGCGAAGTCAGCACTGAGCCACTTGGATCGATATATAAGATAAATTATTTAATATATTAAGTAATGTATGCAATGCATATAAGTTACTCTTTTTTATTTATTTCTCTAACTTTAAAAATATTATCAACGAATATTTAATCAGCATTTTTTGTTTTTTTTAGGGTGGCAGACAGGCTGAATGCGCTGCTGAGTACACGCCATTGTCCGTCCAAGGAACATACACGTAGCTCTCCGAGAGGATGTGGTTGATCTCCTGGTCGTCGCAGCCGTGCGCGCAGTTGCAGGCGAGCCCAGCGCCGGCCACGTCGTCCGCAGATTTGATGAACATCAGCCGCGGCTCGTTCTTGGTCAGGCACTGGAGGCCCGTCAGGTTACACACGTCCTTTGGACCTGCCCCCAGCAAACGGATCATTAACACATTTTGTGCGCCTTAACGTCTAGGGTCATTATTAGCCTCGGAAACACTTCATGTAGGAACACTTCATGTAACATGTCAGGATCTCCTACATGTAACAAGTCACGTCTCAACAAAGAGGAACACCACCACTCGCAGGGATATAGTACTACACAGTACTGCGAGTGGTGGTGTTCCTCTTTGTTGAGACGTGACTTCTCCTGCCCCAACCTACATGTTGGCTTGTGACGTTTTCCCTTCCTTATATCCCTTTTATCAGAACATTGCCTCAACCGGAACAATCTCTATCCTTCCAAATGGCCTCTAAACACATGTGGAAGCGTAGAGATTGCAAAAGTAGGGGGGTGTATTTAAGAGGAGAGAAAGGACGAAGATGAAGAAAAGATCGCTAGCGGTTGATGGCCCGTTTGTCAGAGTACTGCTCCGGTATTCCCCTGATATTAATGGGAGCAGCTGAGGAAAACAACCTGTCAGAACAATCGCCCACTAGAATTCTGCTGCAAACAGCGAGGAAATTTGTCCCAGCGCTCTAGCAAGTCGTTAAAACCCGCTGCCGTCTGGACTCGAACCTTGGGACCTCCCAGTCAGAAGCACTGACTTAGCGGTAGCCATCGAAGCTCGGGTTTCACTCAGATTAATTATTGCCGAGGGCTGTGCTTTAAAGTTTTGTAAATGTATTTTTATTTGACTAAATAATGAACTTTTATGACGGTATGTTATTTATATTATCCTACAATTGGTGACATCCAGTAGAATTAAAGTTAAAGTTCTGTATAAATTATGTATTCAGTGTGAATTATGTAACACTTAGTAGGGCTACGTAGCATATTCCATATTTTTATTTATTATTGTAATGCAATATGCTCAAAATAGCTGCAACGTAAGGATAAATGTGCCTATAAATATCGCATTCGAAAAATGATAGGGCAAATAATTTTAACCTAGAGATACAATTAGGACAGCCAGCGTAAAATAAACCTAAGTACAAACAATATAACGTATGTAATTGTAAATAGTGACATTATTTGCAAGAAATTTTGTATTTTATTACCTGATTAGTACTTGATATACTAGCTGTGACGGCTACTTTTTCTTATTGAATTTTAAGCGTATTAGAAGAATCTTGCTCGTAATCCCTTCGTCATGAGTTTAGCTGAAATGCATTTTGTGATACGATACGTTATCGTGCGCGAACGAATACGATTCGTGTACGCGGAAGTATATATGGAGAAAATGCGTCGGCAATTATGCGTTGGACATTCTCAAGAATGTTTTATGTTAACTTGGGAAAGAGTGTCGATCATCCAGCTTGAGTCCACGTTGCAAGTTCTCAGCGATATCAACAGCACGCGTGAATGAATCGTATCACAAACTGCATTTCTACTATGAGCTACCCATCTTACGAAATAAAACTATTATATATTGCTTGACCATTCCGTAACTTTCGTTACCAATATGGCGGCGCCCGCACTTGTGGCGGCTACACTGGCAAATACAGGAAGAGCTTGGTCGGTATTACACTATAAAATATATTTGACAAATATCTTTGATGAAGAACTTTGTGGAAGTTCTTTCAACTTTGACAAAGGAACGTTCGCAAAGAAATCTGACAAACGTATTATAATTCGTCCAATATTTTATGCACTTTTGCTCGCGATTCAAGATGGATGATATACAAATAGTTTTTTGTGCTACTTTATGCTTAATAATTACTAATCTATTTTTAATACTTAAGAAGTAAAAGGTAAAGAGGAAACGTGAGGGTGAGGCTATAGAACAACGCTATGCTATTCATCCATGGTAAGGCCGTGGGTCGCACATTGTAAAGCATTAATTAAAGAACTTCGAAATGAATTATTTGAGGTTGGCCGAGGAAACATTACATTTTATTTGTCGTTCTTCTTCCTTCTTTCGAAATTAGGTCCTCTGATTTTAAAGAATAAAAAAAATCGTGAATAGGGCATTTTCAAAACCTCACATTTTTCCACATCTCGGACAAATGTGTCATACGCATCAGGTCGTTTGGTTTTATTTTTGTAGTCCCGATGAAAAACATTACAAAAACATTCAAATTGCTCATACTTGACAATTAAAACTTTGGTTGAAGAAATACCCCACGTATATCTTATCTATCGCATGCCATTTTACCAAATGATTGATAAAACGAGGACTATCATATTTTCTTTTATAAAAGATCTGTGACAAATATCTTTCTATCTTTTACAGTGTAATACCATTCGTAGGGGCGAGCAGGGATCACAACATTACAGCTGGATGCATGACTGCAATGCTTTGAAAGACTGCGTGGCGATCGTTTCTCGTTACGTTAGCTGCGGTGAACGCCTACCAGACAGACTTTCTTCCTAGTAAAATGTGACTTGTATGTTGTTAGTGGTGCTTACAATCGTTTGTCAACGAAAATGCCAGAGTATTGCGTAGCATTCGGTTGTAAAGATCGCCAAGAAACTGT